AAGAGAAGGCTTTGGATGACCTAAACTTTACAGCAGGCATAGCCAAGCCCTTTTTAAGCACGGTACAGGCATTGGGAGACACTGGTGAAGACCAACTTCGGAGTTTCTGGTGACAAAGTAAAAGATGGGAATACTCACTTCTAGGTTGTGTGAGCCATACATCAACGCTGGGTTGACCGGACCCGAAGTTAGAATACGAGCTAAACTGGCTAACTGAATGATGACGAGAACCGGTCCCCGGTGGGTGAGGGGGGAGAGAGAGAACGATAGATACTGCGCAAGTCTACTATTTCCCTATAAACTAATTTACGCGCAGGTCATCGTCCCTGCGCCTAGCTTGCTGTGGGACACACGATAGACATAATCGGATAAGACGATCGAACTGTCATTTAGCACTCGTGCTGGCCGTATAGTACTTACTACTTGTACTTGATCCGATTAACTCCTGTTGTTGGATGAATCGGCGTCTCGGATGCCACGGATGGCGGCGGCCCATTGGCGGCCATCGGAAACGAGCTCCTCGCAGATATTAACCCATTGTTTCCTCCAATGTCGCAAGCCGTAAACGGTTACGAGGCCCATCCGTTCGACGTCCGACTTGACGGTGTTAAGCCAGGTCTTCAGCTGACCGCCCTGTCGGTATCTCCAGTTTGCACTATGAGAGGGGTTCACAAACAATCTGCAGAGGTCCATCGATGGTTTGCGCAGAACATGGCCAAACCATTACAATCAGCGATGCTGGATGTATGATACTAGACTTGGTAGTTTAAAACATCTGCGGAATAGCTCGACATCGGAAATTCGATCCTGCCAGAAGGCTCTTAAAGGGCGTCGAAGACACCAACGGTTAAAGACTTCAAGCGATAGAATATCTGCCTTTCTCACTGGCCATGTTTCGCAGGCATATACTAACACCGGTCTGATTGATGCTAGCCGTATAGCATAGTACTCAACATTCGCCTTTTTTTATCGCTGCCATAGGACTTAACTTTATTGTTTAGGAAAGCCATCCTAACCGGTTCGCCCACACGCCGTCAGCGTGCTGATGAGATGGAAGCTATCGAGAGAATTTGCGGTTTTCCCAACCAATCAGCTGATTAAGGAGTCCAACTGAAAAAAAAACTGTCCGCGCAAGGACACTTTCTGATTGTCCGACCCTGATCATCTCATAAGACCCGAGAGTTGCCTTTGTGCTTTAGATAGGCAGTTGGTTATTCGCCAACACAGTTTTCTTCCGCCCGTTCCGCTCCATTGACTTCTGATTAAAGGATTTGTTTACGAATTAATGCAAAGGTTTGCGTTCCAGGGGCTCGCTTGAGTAAAATATTTGTCCCAGAAGGGGTAACTTTTCCTGCCTTGAAGTTTACCACGAAAGTCTCCCAAATGACCCAGTGATGGTCTTTCCCAGCCTGACACGTCAACCTGATTGGTATGCACCGAACGAGACCCAAAACGAACGCTGTCGTATCGCGGGCGACGGAATGCAAAAGGTGCAGTTAACAGTGTAGCTTTGTTTACGGAGAGTATTCGGAAAATGAATTATGTTTGGGCTATGTGCGCGGTCTGCATATCTTTCTGATTAGAGTCTATGGATACTGCAAGACGGCGTTTCAGTTGAACTACCCTTCCAACTGCACTTGTTGGCCTGAAGATTAATATAGGCAAGACGAAGTTCCGAACTACGCATATTGGCACAGCGCAACCACTGTTTATCAGCGGTCAACCCATCGAAGGAGTCAGCTGCTTCCGCTATTTGGGCCCAAATATGCTAGCCAACGGACAGAACAAAGAAGAAATCAAGGACCGAATCGCGCAGGCTCGTAATGCATTTAGGCTGCTAGCCAGACGACTTTGGCCTCGCTCACACATCAGCTTACGTACTAAGCTGCTGATATACAGAGCATCAGTCAGACCGGTGTTGGTATGTTTTTGCGAAACATGGCCTGTCAGAAGGGCAGACATCCTATCGCTCGAAGTCTTTGACCGTTGGTGTCTTCGACGCCCCCTAAAAGTCTTCTGGCAGGATCGAATCTCCAATGTCGAACTATAATCGCAGGTGGTTCAAACTACCAAATATAGCATCATAAATCCAGCATCGCCGATTGCAATGGTTTATTCATGCCCTGCGCATACCATCAACGGGCCTCTGTAGATTGGTCGCGAATCCCTCATGTAGTGCAAACTGGAGATGCCGACATAGCGGGCTCAACACTGCCAAGACGGACTTCGAACGCATGGGCCTCGTAACCGTTTATGGCTTGCGATACTGGAACAAACAATGGGTCGACATTTACGAGGAGCTCGTTTCCGATGGCCGCCAATGGGCCGCTGCTATCCGTGACATCCATCAGGCCGATTTATTAAACAACAGGAGCTAATCGGATCAAATTAAAGTACATGTACTGGTTCATAAACGGTTTAGCATGGCTGTTGGAAAGGGTTCATCGTTGTGTGACTCAGTGGAGCAAGAGGTAACAAGGGATCCTGTGTGGCCAGTCATAACCGACTCTAGGTTTGCAAGCCCTGCAATTAGAACTTGGATTTTTTGATCGTTTAGTATTTTAAGCCGAATGACCTTAGCCGTTAAACGGGAAGACCTCAATCCAGAAATTAACTGTGGGCCAAACAAGTCTCCTAGAAAGAAGATTCTACATTTGGTCCCACTTTTCCTGTAAACGTCTGGATACAATAAACTCAGATCAAGCAGACTAATCAAGAACTGTTCAGATCTAGAAGTGTACTTCACACGACGAATGTTTTCATTAAAAGTGTAAATGGAGTAATAGCCAGCGATCGCTAGTCGCAAGCGACGTTAGAAAGTTTCAAATCTCCCATTCAATTTGACAGTCTGTACGTGCTTACATAATAAGCAATCCATCTATTCTGGGTTCGGCAAGTCAGCGTGGAAAGACAATGGGTCCGTGGCTCAGAAATGGACTTAGAAACGCTTAATGATCAAAGAACCCGATTTCAAATCCCGGGTCATTCGGACCTGAGACTTGGTATGGCGGGCTAACGACGGCTAACAAGTCAGAAACAACAACCCTAGCCGCTCTTCCGTTTGGCAATACTTTTACTCCGCATATACTTCCCACCACTACGCGACTGTCGGCGAGGAAATTAATCTGTGTTCGAAAGTGCAACAGGATGTGTACGTCTCGTAAATTGATCGGTGTGCTACAGTGTTTTTAAGACGAAAAGTGAAGGGAAAACTCACCGGGAAAAAGGATCGACTGTTATCAGCCTGAATAACTTCAACAGGTTCCACCCTGGAAAGGAGAGTCAAGGGGGTGAGGGATGGCAGTGATTCAAGTTGGTTAAAAAGGAACGACAACTGAGAATAAAGCATGCGTGTTTAATACTTGTCAAAAAAACCTAAACAACATGATACGGTGTGTTATGTTTATGTGTATAGTGCTAGTTGGTGCGGACGAAGTGAATACGTCGAATATTCCCCTATCCAGCGAACAGACCTTTGCAGCTCGGCCGATGACTTGCCACGAATTTGAGAGCTCTGGCTATTTTAGAGTTAAAGCCCAATGAGTTTGTAACTTTCGCATTTCTAATAGTTTGCACAACCAAAAAAGTGGCTGCCACTTAGATTCCTAAAAGTGCAGGTCAACCTACGTGAATGGAGTTGCACAGTATTCGGAGAACATGCAGACGATGGTGTCAAGCGTGATGGAGGCCTTGTGAAGGTCGGTGGCGGTGCATTCAATGAAGACGTTTCTAGTAGTCAACTTCAGTTTGGAATGTTCACCTGTGGAGGTAAAATTGAAATAGGGACTTAGTTAAGAGTGTCGTGGAGCTACTCCTCGCACTATTTCCCGGTTCTGAGGTATAGAAACAAGGAAAATGCGGCGCAGGGGCATAGTCTGCGAAAAGAACGTCTGTGGAACACCGGTTGGCAACATTCTAGGACAGGATGTTTAGATCTTCGTGATAAGCTAGAGCGCAGTAGAACTTTCGCTAGGTAACCTTAAGGCTGGATTTAATCTGAGCTAGTCTCACTCTATCCTAGCCCACTATGCACCGGCGGAAAATTCAAGCAAAGTCGATTTGGGATTATGAAACCAGGTGCGGCGTATGTCGAGGCCTGGTAGTTTTACCATCATCTAGAGCCCTTGTGGACGCCCAACGTTCCTCCCTATTTTCAGGACGCCGTTTCGGATAAAGATGTCGCGATTTATAGTGGATTATGGTGGATTTGATCTGCATTAATCTTACTTTGTCCCTAGCCCACCATGCATGGGTGGCTAATTCAAGCCAAGTTGATAGAGGGTAAAGAAACAAAGCGCGGTGTAAAATGGGGCTGGAGAGTTTGGCCATTGCAAGCCAGAACGGATACTACAGTAGTCGCCACAGGCCATGCAATTTTCATAACTTTGTACAAGATTGAT